ATATGAAGCCAAATTAATTTGCAGGCAGAGGGGTCAGGGTGGAATTGTAGTGGTGCAAATGGGAAGGAGCCTGAACTTACTGTCACCGAATGGCTGTTAGTTTAACTGGAGATTACTTGTACTTTAGATGGGGGTCCCTAAACCATTAAGTACCTAAATATCAGATTTGCTAATTTACTCATAGCATAATTTTTTTTTTAAATTATAATCAGCAGTTATCAGTCAATGGTTTTTCTCTCCACACAGTTTGCAGATGGCACAAAGTGCTTAGGGATAGTCAGATCCAGAGAAATCTGAGGAACACCAAAGGGGCTTAACCACCTGTGGTGACTAGGGCAGATGAATGACTCTTGACGGAGGCAAGCTGATAAAAAGCTGAAATTTAAGCAGTTAATATCTTTGCATGGGACTAGGTAAGTTAAAGTCACTCATGAGAAAGACCTAGTTTTCATTTTGATTTGTTAGTTTGAAATGGAAACAGCAATAAAACCCGCTAACTTTATGCATGCACAAAAGAAATCATATTAGATAAAGATGTATGGAATAGTAATTTCATAATTTTGTTGCTGTAGCCACCTGCAATGCTGTGACTGATCTCATTATGCCAGTTCTAAAATACAAGAGAAGTGGAAGGGCTTCAGAGACCTGCAGTGAAAATAGATTTATGGACAACAGCCGTGTGAGAAGACCGTTCAGGACTGCTAAGCATCAGAAGATCCATAAACAGAGGTGTTCTAGAGATATTTGAAATAATGAACTGTACGAGAAGAATCAATCACTTGTTCCTGTTTATTCTTTATCATAACACAAGAGCAAAGGAATATTCAATCAAAATGACAAAAATGTAATATTTAGAGTCTTATACCAGGCTAATCATAGAATACCATTGGAATTTTCTTAAAGGTATGGGTAATGAGAAGGTGTTATGCTGCATTTGTTTTAAAAGAAAGTGAGGAGATGAATTCTCTTCTCTGAAAGTGTAAATGTGTTCCAAATAACTTGGTGACTGGGAGAAGCTTCTGCTGTAGGGAATATTATTCTATTTGGCTGTGATTTTTTGCACCTCCACATGATGTGTTTTTCCCCCAACCAATTTTAAGAGCTGATTCTAGATTGCATACATAATTTATATAATTCATCATAGCAATTCTTTTATTACTACAAAACCCTTTTCATTATGTGTTATTTTGATTGATCTTTATAAAGTTCCTATACATGTTCCCAGAGGGCACATGTTGTGCATTCCAAGCGTAAACCTTTTTCACACTTAATTGAGGCATTCAGCCTCCTTTGCTGTATGTGAGAGACAGGTACTCCAGGCATTAGCAAGAACATCTATCTCTATTACCAAGACATCTGGTATTTTAAACATTTGGCCGTTTACATTCCTTTTTTTTTAGGATTTGGCAAAAATAAAGCTTATTGCTTCACTGGTGAGCTTAACCTTGGCTGTCTAGAGCTAGAAAAATGTTCTTTCAGTTGCTGTTTTACACAGTCTGTTGTTTGGTGGCTACGATAGAAAACCAGGCACTTCAGTTTGTGCTATTTATTTTATGTGTGATTCTAGTTCAAGTCATTTAGTCCCTTGAGCTGCCCTCTCTGAGGATAACAGTATGTATTTTGCAGCAGATTTACAAATGTTTGGGGAGCATCGATCCAAAAGCTGCTGCAGATCTGCAGAATGTTTTTTAGGCTGTAGAATATTTATACTGTAGAACTCAAAAATTTTGAATCCCACTATTTATTTGGCAGTGGTTTGGGTTTTTCCTCATTGCTCCAGGAGGGAGTCAAATAAAATACCTAATAAACTCTTGATTAATATTTCTGCCTCTTGTTAAGAATTGATTATCCTCTATTTCTGTGAAGATTTCTGTTGGAGAACTAAACTGAGTAGCCTTTCTTCAGTTTAAATCACAGATCCCATTTCTCTCATTAGCTCAATTCTACAGTAAAGAGTGAGTGTTGCTGTAACTAACAGGTCAAGCTGAAGGGAAAGCTTTTGAAGAAAGATGCTCTCTTTTACTGAAATTAGTTCTTACAGTGGGGAGAAGAAAGATGAATGTTTGGGTCCATAGGATTTGCCTCTCATAAGGCATGTGTAGCCAACTCTCCAGTCAGTCACTCCTGATGATTTGAATGTTTAAATAGCAGCAGAAAGCTGATCTGCTTCAATTAATTGTATGTCAGTATATGGCTTCCAGACTGGCTGGCTGGAGGGACCTGGGGTGCTGTCAGGCAACTAGCAGCAATTTCCATAAAAAGTTAGCACAACATGACACCAACACATCCCTAACATAAGGAATTCTGGTTCTTGGGGCAGTAGTGATCAGGTGAAGAATGAGCTAAATGACTGGAAGGAGGAAAGTTTTGGGAAATGGGAAAGAAGCAGCAGCATCCAGGCAGAACTGCTGGCTTCAAAGCGATCCCAAGCCAGTGTGAAGGTCCTGAATGGAAAAATTCTCCTTCAACATTCCCTCCAAGCTTATTTAAAACCTGAGACAACCTCACAAAAATCATGACTTGGCTTTGACAGGATTAGATTTTACTGTCTAATGGATTCTGAGCTTCTGGCATGCATGATGTCTTCATGCAACAAGGATTCTAAGGACTCAAACCAAATGTTATTTTTGCAGTTGCTTATTTCAGGAACACCTAAAAAATCAAAAATGTTAGCCTTTGCATAAATTGCAGTAACACAAACAACAACTACCAGTTTTTCATGCCCTTCCCCATGACTCTTGCTAAGGTGCTGCTGTAGAGCTTTAGAAGATGCAGCGATATAATATGATGGGAGAACTGCAGAATTGCAAGCATACCTATAAGAGTTCCATAGCTCATCATCGTTTTTGAGGGTTTTTTGGTGGTAATTAGTAGATTCAAGAGGTTTGTGCACTGCTGGGAAGAAACTTTGTGATTAGATGATCAAGTAAAGAATGTGCCTGGGAGGGAGTGGGTGAGTAAGGTGGGCTCTTTCATTCTGTGCACTCTTTAAGATCTGTTAACTCGGGGGTCTGAGGAAGCAGTGCAAAGTCTACCAAGCAGCCAGTAAAGCTGTCACACATCTCTTCTATAGACAGGAAGGAACCTGGTTATTTTTGTGGTCAGTATGCCTGGCCAAATTTAATGTCATGGGGCTTTATTTATTTGCTTGGTTGGGTTGTTTGTTGTAGTTTTTTTGTGGTAGTAGTGTTTGGCTTTTTAAGGGAAACAGGACATGATAAACCAAAAAATTATTTAAAAACTTTGAGGTCTTTTTATCACACGTTTCTCCTTCAAATTCTCTTCTCCTCATCTGGGAGAGAATGAATGTGCAGGGATTTCAATTCCTTGATAGTTTTAAAGCTGAATGTGTTAATCTGGGAAACATAAACCATCATGTGGCATCATAGCCAGTCATACAGCCAGGGCAATGAAAACCTAATGTGGCAGATGCTACTGAGTACAAAAAAATGAAATAATCCTTTGGTCTGCAGTATTCATCAGTAGAAGTGGCTTTGATATCACAGCATTGAGCTCTGGATAGGTAGATGCCAATGACAGAGAACCCTCATGAATAACACATTTGCAAGTGTGATCTCTTCCTTGGCCACCTGCATACAGAAACAAAGCTCAAATTCAATTAAAGTGTTCATTGCTTGTTGACATGATCGCTCAAGTATGTATGAGTACTCTGCACCTCCAACCTGGCTTTAATAGGAGCATCTCTAGGCAATTCAAGTGCATTACTCGGTTAATGTGATATACAAAACCCCTTTGAGGTTCTGCACCTGATGTTATTGTTCAGTGGTAGCTTAGGGCAGAGGCAGCATCAGAAGAGGTGGTGGGAGCAGTGTGGTGGGGTGACAGCCAGCCTGCCCTTCTCTCAGGACTGCGAGGAAGGGGAATTACCACGTGCCTGGAGCAGGGTGGGAAGAGCAGGGGGAAAATGACAGCCTCCAAGTCAAAATGTATTGGTTATCTCTGTTCTCTTGATCATCTCACATGGGGTATACCAGCATCTCCCACTACTAGCATGCTTGAAAAAATCCAGCTTTTACTGGTGTTGCAATCCTGCACCTGCCATCCTGATAAAACACTCAACCTGCCAAATGTTTACTCGTCTGTGGTGCTAATGGAGAAATACATAATTGACTTAACTTGAGAGCAACCTGCAGTGCTGCCCCATGCCAGCAGCCTGGTGAAATATTGCAAAGATGAACAAGTGTAAAGTGCATCTGTCTGTTTTCCTGTAGCTGCCTGCAAAGGATGCTTGTTCCAGGCCAGTGCTGGTCCACACTGATGTCTGAGTAAATGTTAAATGCCACCAAAATGCACTCTTTGCTGTCCAGTAGATAACCCAGAGGAGCAGAGTTTAGGCTGTTGCTTACAAAGAGAATTGCTGTGTAGGTCCTGGGCTCTATACAGGTGGGAAGTGCATTTATATATATCCC